CTCTCTTTCTCTAGCATTATCCACCAAGGGCTACAATGTACAAGTCGGGAGCTGCTACCCCCCCCCCCCCTCCCCCTGACTATCTTATCAACTTTTCGCCTCTTTTTGACCACCTTCACCATCACGGCCTTTCACTGCAATTGAAATAAATGAAGCAATCTCCACATTTCCGCCCTTGGCGCTTGAAATAAAGGGTAGTACCTGCATGCGCTTCGACCTGAACAAGTGACTCCACACTCAGTCATGTTGTCTTCGTCCACCATTGGCACTTGGCAGTTCGAGACCAGTTTCCCTGCATAAAGCCATCAACACCGAACGCAGTGACTGCGTGTGGTCGTCAGCGTCGAACCACAGCGCATTGTCTTCCTGGCAGTGGCAGAGTGCACGCGACGAGGTGTGATTTCGCGCTGAGCTATTAAAGACGTGGAGGATAACAATGTTGAGAATGGCCCAGTTGCAGTGTTCGACGGATAACGTAACGTTGGTCTGCCAGGCATTGGCATAGCGCACGAAGAAGCGCTTCAAGGCGTTTGGCAAGCCACCTACAGGTACCTGCCTAGCATAGATCACTTGAGTCGCGTGATCGCGAATTTGGCCCTAATTTAAAAAAGGAAAAGAAAGGAAAGGTTATTAGTCCGTCACAAACGGTCTTGGCATTTGGCGTGCAGGACGTGTGGTTCCCAGTGTCATTCCTGACAAGACATGGCCAACTCAACTACTTACTGCAACGAACCATTTGCAAACACTTCAGTCCGGCCAGCTCAGGAATGACAAATTCCTGCCACTCTCTACCACTTAGCTGACAAGTGCTTGAAGTGGGCACCACTCCTAGGTTGGAGACAAGAACAAACGCAGTTCTCCTTCAGGCCAGTACTATTATGTGTTGTAAGGCCCCATGCGATTGAGTGCTGAACAGCTTGTTGTCCAAATCAGATCTGATCGAGGCTGCACGTGAGGACGAAATTCGCGTCATCAGTGGCCTCAAACAGCAAACTGCAAACGCGTGGGACACCCAGGATATGCCTGACTCAGTGACTGCATGCATGCAGTGTAGTAAACAAACTGATCCACGTCCACAGCGCTACATTGTAGCAAACATGCAACTGCAACTTTGCAAGTACGTGCATGCCTGCACTGGCTGCAGCATGACATTATTTTAGTTCTGTGTTGAGTGCCGCTCCGCACCTTCACTCATGCGTTCAGTTTGTGACGGCGTGTCCCGCCTGGCCTAGCAGGCTAGGCACACTCAACGTGTCAACAACAACATCAACGCGTGTCCGCCTCCATGGCCCCAGGTAGAACTAAGTTTAAAAAAAGAGTTTTTTTCAAAGGCAACGTACAGTCCTTCACCAGACCAGTGAAAACGTTACGTCATGGAACAGCCACACATGCATGCATAATAGCAGCCTACATGTCCCATGGAGACGATTACTGGTCGACCTATGCTAATCACTAGTCATGTGGTAAAGAATGATAAAGCTACTTGAGTAAGCCCATAGTATGGACTCGGATGGAGAGCCAAGGATAAATTTATAGAAAAGAAAAAGGACCAAGGAACTACAAACAAGTTACCCATGTAGCCCATAGGCATAGTCATTCCGACCTTAGGGGCAAGAGGTGTTAGAGACATCCTGACTGTTTCACAGAGCTCGACATATAGACCTACCCAACCCCAGATTGGTCTTCTGGGGGTGGAAATGATCTTCACTCGCCCTGGGAATCGAACTCACAACCTCATGTTTGGAAGGTCAATACTCTGACCACTTTGCCAACCACGCACGCACTACGCATAGGGCATTATACCAGGTAATTTTATATGTTCTTACATGGCCCTTGGGCTGCAGACTCGGGCAAGATCCAGCCATCATGACCTCCTGAGCGTGCTTGATTACATACAATAATTATGATCGATGCCGACTAGATTGTATTAAAGTTAAAACCTTCAACCACGTTTTGTCTGTGTTGGATCTGATCTACAAACTCATCTCCTGAGGTTAGGAGCTGTACTAGTAGTAGTACAATCCATATTAATGTTAGATTGACAGCATGAAACAAGGTTTATCTAATACTAGTTCTGAACTACTTGAACTAGTATTGGGTTATAATAATACTACTACATAGTACAATCATGTACATGTACATGTACATGTACATGTACATGTACATGTACCTGCGTATTAAATTAATCATTGGATGGTGGCATTCCTGTGGATCATTGGATGGTGGCATTCCTGTGGATGGGGAAAACTCAGTCTGACCGAGTTTCACCAGAGCCAAGCAAGTAGACTGTTATGGTTACAATGTCAATGTCATGTCGCCAGAGACAGGTACTAGGTAGAGTGAGTGAGGCAGATCAGAGGCATGCACCCTGAGTTGAAGAGTCTTGACACTAATCTTGGCCATGTCAGCCAGTAATCATGGTAATCATGATCGTACACATTATCACATACATGTACATGTACATGACTTGTACTAATGTCATGATACATGTACTTGGAAGGGTGAAGTGCGTTGGCGTGCGGATGACCAAGATGGCAAGAAGCGTGGGCTGCACTGAACATGGCAAAGTACGAGTAACTAGTATGGTAGGCCGCATGGTGCTTTGTATGCACATGTACATGTACATGCACGTCGTGCTTCCGCCTGTTCTTTGCCTGCAGAATGTGCTCAGATTCAAGTCATTCTGGCCACGGGGGAGGGGAGGGGGGGGGGTACTTAGACGAGTGCCAGAGCACATTCTGCTCCACGCTTATTTGGCTTGATCCGTAACTGTTCGATACGCCACTCGATATGCAAGCAGGTAATGCTGGTATCTAAGGAAAGTAAAGCCTACTAAAGGTACAGACTACAGTGAATGATGTACATGTACATGTACATGTACACTGTAGCGACCTGACACACTGTCTATTAGTATTACATCTCTATCACATACATGTACATGTACATGTACATGTACATGTAAGCACGCGCAGGAAAATAAAACATTCCCTTTGGTCACAACTTCTTTGTTGTCCGGTTGGCCAAAGTAGCCGTCGTCTAGGGCCCGACGTAAAACCCTACATTGGTGACCCCGACGTACAAGTAAAATACAGTTAGAACGTCCATGTACAATGAAACCTGTAAACACAGAGAGGTTCCAGGCTGTCCAATACGGCAATAGAGAGATCAATGCCTAAAGCCTAAGTAAAGGCAGAGCTACGATGTAGTTCCAACAGTGGAACCCGTCTAACATGGCCAGGTCGAAGCCACCCGCTCAAGACTAGAGACACGGAGGTCCCCGTATTCAGGTGGCAGGTGGTCTCTTATCCAAGGCCATTTGTCCGGAAACTACACCCCTTGGTCCTGGTTGTAGTACTAGTGGTCTTCTTGGACAGGTGGTCACCTTATCAGAGTGGTCGCCTTGACAGGTTTTACTGTCACATGTACAATCACGGTATTAGATACATGTAAACCATGCTCTTGGTTGACAGCATGTTACAAAGCAGAAGACCACCGTGTGCGCTGAGAGAGGGACGCCATTGGCAGAAGTTGGAAAAGAAAGACAAGAGTATAGAAAAAGAATGAGGACTGAGTATCAGGTTGATTCAAGAAGACATCCAGGAGCGAACAAAGAATACACGACTGACGGTACAACAACAACAAGAAGAAGAAGACAAAGGCAACTTACTAGTATAATGAGGGTCAGAGCCGGGGCTAACACCCATACGGTTCAGATAGTCGCAAGACAGGGGCTCTACCAACCGTGAATGGTTTTAGTTAGGGGCACGCTTTCCGAACACCGTGGTCCTCCGCCTTGTGATAAAGTTGTATTTGTAATATGCTGTCGACCAACAACACGTACAAACTACAATCATGTACATGTACATGTACATGTAGCGTTGTATATTGTAACATGGGGTTCGCCCGAGCGCGAGGGGAATCACAGAATTTCACCCTACCACTGGAACCTGAGCCTAGACTACATAGTGAGGAATGTCATGTTCACCCAGCACCCACCCACCACACGTACTAATAGAACTTACACGTATTTGGACACATTCCTTGTCGCTAACGATCAATGCAGTTAAATGTGTGGAGTCAAGGTGAGGTATTTCTCGTTTAGATACAATTACGATTGGATGCTATTAATTGTACCGGTACAAACATGATTCCTGTGTGACAAGTAAAGTTTTAAACGACATTCACGTGCAGCTTACAGGTATACAGGTACCTAACGGTAACCCATGTTTGGGCCATGCGTGACCTTGCCTCGCGGTGCCCGATCACCCCGCCAACACTCAGTGGGGATTCGCATCATCAACCAACGACACTGCACTGGGCCTCTCACAGTGGTACGTATCGAGGTCCTGTAATGGGTGACCTTTCAAGGAAGTTAGTTAGTTAGGACTGCACGTGCACGATGACTCCTACTCTATTAGACGTGGGGT